GCAGAAAAGCAGAGCGTCCCTCATGCTCTGATCCTGACTCGGGCAGTGCAGTGTCCTGCTGCACCAGGAGCTGCTGGGGTGCTGCAGGGAGTGCTCCCTGCCCTCTGGGCTGGTTCTTGGCAGGAGGTTAATAGAGGAGTTCCTTCCTGATTAATTCCTGTCTGTGGCAAGATAGATGATTTGCATTTCTCTTAACCACATGCAAGAGCTGGGCCGTACATTGATCTGATCCTTTTAAAGCCTCAGCCGCCAGCTGGGTAAATTGCAGGGCAGGACTTGGTTGTAGCCTTGGAAGTTTCCATGTAAGCTCATGTTTATTGTCTCCTCCAGTGCTGCCAGGCTCCCTGAGATTCCATCTTCAGGCACAGGAGCAATAGGATCTGCTTTTGACCATGTGCTTGATATGTTGATTAAATCATGACAGTTGTTTGTTTTGGGTATTGCAAAACTCCTCTTCTAAACGTTGCGTATGTTTCAAGTCAACAAGAAAAGTTGCAGGCTTCACTGAGCAGATTATAAGTTTTGTGAAAGTGTGAAAACATGGCATTTGGTTGTGAAATGTATGATTGAATCAAACTTAGTCTCCAACTGTTGATATTCTGCAGAAATCTTGGCTGGCACTTTGGCATAGCAGAGTCCCCCCCTCTGTCTGTCTCTAGGTTGTTTAATTTATAATCTCTATTCTCTGCCATGGTTTCCCTTTTTTTTTTTGGTGAATTGAAAATTATTACTTTTGCTGCATTTCTAGGGTATTTCAAGATCTGCAGATTAAAAGCATGAGACTAAGCCACAGAAGGCATCAGAGAAATGGAAAGTCTTCTAGCCTTTGCTCCTTTTTCCATGTTTATTTGGATCAAGTGCATTAGATTCAGACTGGATTTTGACCAAGTGCAGGAGCTGCAATAGGTCTAAGTTTAATGTCTTTTAGTGACTCTGGAACAAGATGCCACTTTTCTAAACACAAATAAAACATCATCGACAAGAAGCTTGGGGAAATGCATGAAACTTGATTTATCTGGTTGGACAGCATAACTATTAACATTGACAAATGAAGAAGCTAGAATGTGATTTCTGATCAGTTAACTAGAGGTCAGAAATACTTGGGCTGCAGTTTGACTACAGAATTCTTCCAGTTCTTCCTTGTAGTAGCTCCTGAATTCTGCACCTCGATGTCAGTGATCTGGTTTTGCAGATGCTTTTCTGTGCCATGTCTGCAGAGGTGCAGCTGAAAAACTTGTGGGCATTTGCTTTTTGTTTATTGTGTTCTAAAGTCCCAGCTGTTGGCTGGAGGTCATGGATACGGGCAGACTCGCATCTCAAGAGATCTGCTGTTTATTTTGCAGAAATAAATAAAAAAAGTACAAGCTTGGCAGTTTTCTCTTAAATTTCTTGAAGGTGCTTCTCATCTGTGCTGTGAAGGGATCTTTTAAAGGTGCTGTAAGGAGATGAATATGCATGCAGGAGCACCTGGCAGCATGTGCCCTTCTCAGAGCAATGAGGACTGGTGTCCTGGCCATCAGCTGCACCAGGCAGAGCAGCAGGGCTCTGCTCTGGAATCAGTGATGTGCTCCAGCTGCTCCGTATCCTGTCTCTCTTCTTGTCCTTTCCCATCTCTGTGGGTTCACGGCAGTTGGAGTATTGCTGCTTATAGTTTGGGGTTTGCCATTTGTAATGAGTAGGACGTGCCATTTAACAAGCAGCCAGTGAGTAGCTACCATTGTCTTTATCTCTCAGTCTAGTTTGTGGTTGGAGACCTGTGTGCTGGTTGTGGGTTTTTACGTGCGTCACTGAACCCAGAAATTTTATTATATTCTCAGAAAAGGGTTTTGCAACAGCTCAGCTATTTAAGCCAAACCATGTAGTTTAGTAAAAGTCTGGGCAGGAAACAACAAAATAAAATTCATCCTAGGGGAGAAGCATGGTGCATGTAGGCTGGGAAGAGAATGCAAATACACTATTTATAGGACTAGGAGAAAACAAATTTGGACTGGAGTAGTAAATGTGAAAGAGTTATCCGGGAAAAACCAGCCTTGGTCCTCTGAGACTCTCGGACCTGTGCTGCCAGAGTGCTTATCCATTTTGGAGAATTCGTAATATACCAACAAAGGAGAAAAGCTGGACATTGCAATCCGTGCTATACAGAGTCCTTTCCTGCAATGTCCTTTAGGAGTTTATGCTATGGATGACACCGGGAAGGGGAAATATTTGAACCAGTATTTTTTTAAGCAGTACCAAAACAGCTGAGGCCGGCGCCTGCTCCAGGGAGTTCCTGCAGGACAAGCAGGCAGAGCTGCGTGCAGGGAGAAGGGGAGACATGAGTGCATTTGCTCCTGATCAGACAGATCAGGTCAGTGGCAGAGCCAGGAGTGCAGCCCAGCTCTGTTCTCTTACTCATGTGATGCTTCTGATGTTACTCTGAGGTTAGCCAGGAGAACTTCTGTGAGGAGTGCAAAAGCAGTGGCTGTACCTCAGCAATATCCTGCCTCGATCAGTGTGCTGTCCTCATAACACTGCATGCTGGAATTGGAGAACATGGGGCACACACTTTCTGTATCGTTTCTTTTACATAATTTGTGATTTTTCATTTATAAATAGATGCTAAGCCCTCCTTTCCTTCCACTGTGGTTTTTGGAACAGATTCTGACACCTCCATTGCCTGCAGTTCCCTGCTTTATTCTGGATCATGTGCTACTTTTAGGGCATTTGCCTGTAATTAATGTTCCATGTAACGAAGCGTGGAGCTTTGGCTTTACAGAGTACAGAATATGCTGATAGCTCATCCTTCTTCCAGGAAAAATAAATCTTACCTGATGGGAGATCCTACACTAAAATAACAGATGATAGTCAGACTGCAGAGCTGAGCTGCTGCTTTAGACACAGGCCCATCAGAGCTGGCTGTACCAGTTCCAAAATCACTGTGCAATCTTGCCTCTGTCCCTAGGTGCTCTGCAACCCTGAGGCGTGCCCAGGAATGGGGAAGGGTGAGGTGAGCCGGGGGCAGCAGCAGGAACATCCTGCAGTGCCCTGGGAATTCCACATACAGGATCACAAACACGATGAGCTGTTTGCCTGGGGCTGGATGTTGTGGTTGCAGTTTGTGTATCAGAACACATATCGTCATTGGCCCTTCCCTTGAGTGGCCTCTGCAAGGAGACAAGGCTTGGGTGATTTCTGTCTTCCTTCTCTTTTCCATGACATAGCTATTGCACAGTTGGGAAGCTGTTTCTCATTTGTGTAAGCTGATTTTTGGCATGCTGGGGGCTGTTGAGTCTACAAACTTCCTGCAGCCTCTTCTTTCTGCCTGTCCTGAGGAACCCTTGCCCATCTACTCATCCCAGCCTGCCCAGTGACAGTGTCCGTAGAGGGGGAAAAGCACACTGAGAAGAAAGAAAATTTAAACCAAACCCCAAGCAGGAAAATTCTTGGGACAGCACCTGCAAGCCCCTTTCTGCCATGGGAGTGAACAGGAGAGCCCTGTGGACAGGCTGTTGTGGGAAAGGACGTGTGACAGTGAGAAAGCAGAGGGCAGCCCATGACACGTGTGCCCCAGCGTGCACGGGGATGCCTGGAGGATCCCAGCCCCCTGCTCCAGAGCCAGGGGAACTCAGGCAGGGCACAGCCGAGGGGCTGGTGCAGAGAGAGGGCAACCAGAGCACAGCCAGCAGCAGCCCTGCCTGGCACACAGGGCCCAGCACATGGCACACATGGCAGGGACAGCCCTGGCTGGGCTCTGCCTGGCACGCAGCAGCCTGGCAGCCACTGGGGCCCAGGCACTGCTGAGCACACAGCCAGTCCCTCCCGAGGCTGGCCCTGTCCTGCCCTGCCCTGCTCTGCTCTGGCCAGAGGAAGCAGCACAGGGCTGGGAAAAAGGAAGTGCTGACAGCCCCTTTATACAAAAAGAGGTACTGAGAACGAGTGATTGGGATTTCCAGTTCATTGTAGGGCTGGTGCTCCAAAGCTGTGCTGGCAAGTTGTGGTGGAAAGGCTCCTCAGGTTTCACCAGGGGTGGTTAGAGTGAGAATGCAAAGGGATGGCTGAGTTTCTAGGACATGGCAGTCCTGCTTTGCCTCTCCTGGGAATGGCAGTGCTTTGCATTGCTCTGGGCATTACAGGAGTTGGAATCACTTCAGTATTCACACCCTTTTTGATAAATCTCAAAATGCATGGCATTGCTATCAGAATTCGGTGTGTGGGCAGGGACAAACTTGGCATAGCTGATAGTTGTAAGGAATAGATTGCTCATAAAACATGCTCTCAACTAACTTCATAGGAAAAAACTTAAACTGTAAGAGGGGACACATCATAACGGTCAAAGAATCCATGTTTGTTTTTTCCTTTACACTTTTAGTCTGATCATGTCCCAGATGCTAAAATTTGTTGACTAAGAACATGTTTTGGTTTATAAATCATGCATCAACTAACTTGCTTTGAGGCATTGTTTTGTTAGGAAAGTTTTGAAGCTTAAGCCTGCCTCATGGGAATGTGTGACACAGTGGGCAATCTTTGGAGAGTATTTTCTTTTTGATAAGCAAACATAAGGCACAAACAATACTCCTTTTTGCTATTTTATCCTTTTGTGCCTAAAATGAAGAATTCTTTGTAGTGCATTTGCTATGAGATGGTCAGGTGATAAAAGCTTTGGAATAAAATTTTAGGATAGAAGATACACAGAAATCATCAATCCAACTGCCTGAATTTTTGTTCTTTTAAGTTAGCTGGCTTTAATGTTGATTTTGTAATAGAAATGCCCATCAAATAACAGGCCTCAGAGTCTTTGGATACTTTGGCTATTCCTGCCTCAGAACTGCGGTTGATGGGGGTTTAGATGCTCAGTGTGAGGGAATTGCACTGTGTGGATTTCCCCGAGAGCTCACAGGAGGATGTCACTTCTATGTCATGAAAGGGCCCTGCTCACAAGGCAGCGTGCCCCGTGTACGAGCACAGCCTGGGAAGGGTCAGCCCGTGCCAAGGAAGTCACAGTTTGTGCTCTGCATCCCCAGGTGAAGCTGATTGACTACATCCACCGGCAGCGGCAGTGCAAGCTGAGCGTGCCCCTGAGCGACCGCACCGCCGAGCTCAACAGCTACCCCCGCTTCAACGACTGGCTGGACATCGTCAACGTCAGGAAGGAGGTGGTGCAGGTAGGGAGGGGACACGGCCCTCACAGAGCCCTCCTGTCCCTTCAGTACATTCCCAGCTGCCTGCTGGGTCTGAGAGCCACAGCATTAGCCAGAACAGCTTACAATCTCACACACACACACACACACGTAGACCTCAGTCCACTGACAGCTAAACAAGACAGAAAAGGTCTTTTCTATTATTTTTTTCCATTTTTGCCTCTGCAGGCCAGGTCACAGTGTTCTCATTCAGTTTCCTTTGATTGCTGAACAACTAAATTTTTTCTTTGAGCTCAGCAGGAATCTGCCTGGGTGAAAAATTCCACAAATTTTCATAGAAGTTATTCCAGCTTGGTTCTGATGTAACTAAGTGGTCTCTGGTGAAACAGGATGGGTTCAGGATCAAGTTGTTCCTTTTATTTCCTACTGTTCATTTTGAATGTAATGCTGCTGTTGCCTTCCAGCCCAGCAAGGTTTTGGGTGGCACAGCCAAAGGTGCAGCAGTGACAATGAGAGGACAAAAGCAGCCTGTTGCTGTGGCCAAACTGCCAGGCTCCCAGCTAGTGTTGGTTTCTAAGGTTACTGGAATTGCCTGAGTCTAAAAGAATGTCTTTGTAGCTCATTTATAAATCCTTTGTGATGCCTACAGAAAGGAGTGGGGGGGAGCAGGGAAGAAGGGAAGAAAAGTGGGGAGGGAGGTGGACAGTTCAAATCTGCCACATCCTGCTAATTTAGGGAGCAGAGAGGGTTGAGACTGCCCTTCTGTATGTGTGGTCACTGAAAGGGGTGAACAAATTCGGGTTTGGTCTAAGGCAGAAAGAATTTCCCAGATATTTTTGATTTGTACGCTACGCTCTTGCTGCTCCCTCCCAAGCAGTGTCCAATTGAATGAACTCTGTTCCTTCTGGGACAGAACTGTAAGAAGCGCACAAAGCATTGAAATTCCCCTGGGATTCTGGAAGTATGGTAATCTTTTAAGGGTTCTGCATCCATTTCATGCAGCTGCAGGCAGCTTCTGTAACGCTTGTATTAGCTGGACAGCAGAACTGCAACACCCTGTAGGTCATTAAAATAATTTCTGAGTAGGCATGCTGGAACAGGCTGTGAGCTAGGGAAGTGGAAATTGCTGGGCTAATAAACTAAGTGCTCTGCTCTTGCAGTGATTTTTTTTTTTTTTTTTTTTTTGGTCCTGTTATTTCACTGCTCAAAAAATAGCCATGCAGTCACCGTTGGTGTTGGACACTGACATCAGCACAGTGCTGAGAGCTGTCTGGGATGAGTTACCTTTCAGAAATGTCTCAGGTATCATGGGATCATTCCTGCTCTTGGTTAGATTTCATACAGCATGTTGAACTGCATTTCAGCTTAAAGCTTTCAAAATGGAAATCACTGACAGAAGGAGCTTTAATAGGTTAGTTATTACAAAATCTAGAGTGGTGTCCTGCTTTGTGCATGCTGCCTGCCTGTGACAGGATGGGGAGGAGCCTTTGCAGACAGGGTTGAGCAGGTCACACTGTGAAAATGGGGACCCTTGAGTGGTTCTGGCTCTGTGCTACTGGGAACAACTTCCCATCTCTCAGATACTGTTAGCTCGCTGTAAAATGGAAATAGGCGTGCTGGGTTTGCTTCTTAAGGCTTCCAAAAAATGGTGCAGAGTGGAGGAAAACTGCACAAGTGTCACAGTGTGGTCACATGGCACACAGCCCTCTCTTCTTGTGCCTTTTAGGCTCTGAAACTAGTTGGAGAGGTTGCCAGGTACCTGTGGAGTCTCAGAAGAGCTGTCTCAGAGCCCTGCCCTGGGCACCTCTGAGAGCTGAGCAGGACAGCAGATCTGGCACAGGAGGAGGTGCAGTGGAGGGCTCTCTGTGCCTGCTGCCCCTCAGGGACAAATCAGGAGAAAGGCCTGGGTTGATGGGATTTTTGCTTTTTTAAGGAGTCTGATTCCCTTTGCATTTCTAGTGCTACTGGAGGGAGTATTTTCAAGACTGTGCTAATCTGTGACATAACACTGTTGAAAAGCAGCCTAATTGCAGGAGTTCTTTAGCTCAGCGGTGAGAGGAACAATGCTCTGTTTCTCTGTCTCCCCTCCCCTCCCCTCACTCCCCCCAGTCCTCTCCCAAATAAAGCTGCCATGCAGGGAAGCACAGAAGCTCCCAGGCTCTCCTGTCAGAAATAGAGCAGCAGCTCCAATTTAGAGTATCTGCTGACTCCTCTACTCCTGAGTGAAGACTATTTTTGCTCAGTGACTTGCTCTAGACATTGTGAAGCTCGAAAGCTCTGGTGATTATAATTGCTGGGCTCCTTTATTTCTTTGAAAACCTATATTTAAAACGAGAATAATGACTGCCTGTAAAATCCTTTAGTTCTGGAAGAGATTACAGCGATAACAATGCAGTGTTTATGGCGTTGGGCAACAGCTAAAGCTGCCGAGAGTGCGGACAGCAGCGAGCCGGTGACGCTGCGCCGGGTGCGAGGGCTGGGCTGTGCCGACCTCGCGGGCCTGCAGGTAGGTGGGCACTGCCAGCCCCACTCTGGGATCCTCTGTGGCAATGCACAGTTCCGAGGGGTAAGGAAACTTGGAACCTGCCACCCGACCTGCGCTGTTTCTGTGGCTTTGTTACTGTTCCTCTAATCAGATGCCAGACAGATTTTTATCATAGAAAGTGGTAGCAAGCTCTGCTTTGGAGCTGGGCTAATGTGGTGCTGTAACTTCCTGTTTAATTATATTTCTAGGGAATGCTGGAGTCCTTGTTTTTGCTGAGGAGTTCTAGAATCTGATCAGTTCTAGAGATTGATTCATTCTAGAGACAGATTGTATGTGTAGTTTAATACCAAAAAATATGTATAAATGGTTAAATATGGTGGGATGAAAGTGAGCAAGGAGGTACTTGAACTGAGACCTAGAAAAGACAGGGTAAGGAGCCTTACAGGCAGAAGGTGTTCATGCTATGTAGTCATCTTGAGTGGGTAAAAGTTGCTGTGAAAATGGTCCTAGAAGAATTCATTGATCTGGATTGTCCTGCTTGCCTTGGGAGCTGGAGTCAGGAATTGGGAGAGCAGTGGGAGGGAAGGAGGATGAGAACAGGCTGCTCTCTCCACTCTTGAGCTGATGGAAGAAGTCCCTTGCAGAGCTCCTTACTGGGTTCTGAGCTTGAAGTATGTCTGTCAAATAGAAGAGGCCAAAAAAATTCTTTTGGCTTATTTTCTTCAGCCCAGAAAGCAATTTTCTCTGCCTTTATCAATTTGCTTCCCAGAAACATAACTATTGTATTTGTTCCCACATGTAACTTGTCACTGTCTTAAAAACTAACTTAAGAACAGAGTCATCTTATCATCTTCTGAAGCATGTCTGGGCCAGTCCTGCTGGCCGTAGAGCAGGGGTGCCAGTCAGTCAAGCTTGGAAAGCTGTTTTTAGAGTGGGTAACTGTCCTGCACAGGGAGGGGCACATCCTGCCCCGGGGTCTGGCCATGAGCAGGGCTGTGTCACCAGGGAGACTGGGAGCAGGTGGAACAGGGCTCTGGCTGGGGCTCTTTGTGGCTGTTCCTTTTGGAACGGATTTGAGTCCCCATTGTACCCTTGTACCCTTTTGTGGGATACCTCCTGTGAAGCCCATCCCCATCAGCATTGATGCCAAAGAGCTGCAGAGCTGAGCGAGGCAGGGGCAGTGCTGGGCACAGCGGAGCAGAGCAGGAAGGGCTCGTGCTCTGAGCAGGGATTGTCTGCCCGGAGCCTTGTGCTGCCCCGGGGAAAATGCCCCAGTCAGGGGTGAGCCAGGGGTCTGGGGCTGCTGCTGTGAGCCCAGGGCAGAAGGTCCTGTTTGCACAGGGATCCAGCTGGTAGCAGATCTGTCACTGGAGGAGTTGTGAGGGCTTTTTGTGAGTGCATCCTTTGGATGGGGGATAGAAGAGGCAGATTTGCCTACGCCTATCAGGTTTCCCCAGCTGTATCCTCTCATCTTTTTCTGTCAGCATATCTGCATGAAAAGGCCATGAGGACCGTGGCTGTTTGGGGATTTCCATGGGTCTGGCAGCAGGAGCTCTGGCTGGCCCACCAGATAGCAGAGATCCTGGATGTGCTAATTGTGTGTATGCAAATTAATTCTGTCCTGCAGGCTTCCTTGAGCTATAAAATTCCTTCAGTGTTCCAGCTGAAGGCCTCTCCCCAGTGTAAACAGCTCCTGGAAGATAGCTCCTGGAAGATAGCCTCTACCACTGCCAGAGACCCCCTTCCCTGCCAAGGGCTCCAGGTGCCCCTTCAGCCTTGGGCACTCTGAACCGTTCGTGGCTTGAAGTCAGCCTGAGGGATCTGCAACTGCTGCACCTGTCTGCCACAGAAGAGTAGTGACAGCAGCTCTCCTGTCCACAAAGAGCCAGCTGGACAGAATGCCCTGAGCCTGTCAGCTCTGCTCCAGCCTCTGCTGTGAGGTGGAACAGTGAGGAGGGTGATGTTAGGTGGAACCATGGCCTGTTTATGCTCGCAGCTTAATGCAAGCTGGAGATTTCAAGTGAGAGGCTTTCCAGAATGCCCATAAAATCTCCAGGAATTTAATAATACAGCAATTTTTCAGTACCTTCATTGCTGGACACCAGAAAAGCACTGCAAAGTAACAACTAGCAGGCACAAGATGTTCTCAAGAGCATCTTTACATACTTTGCTTAGAGCTATCAGTGGGAATTTAAGCACCTTATGTAATGGGCTTTCTCTTCTAGCATCTGCTGCTTTACAGGAGTGTGATTGGAGAGGGGATGTATTGATTTAAGAGGAGACATTTGGGGTCTTGACAACTGTCCAGCTTTACAGGAAGAGCTGTGGCTACTGGGTCAAGGAGCAGGTCAGGCTGATTTTGCAGAGTGCCTGCAGCAGCATTAGCTACGTAGGCTTATCTGCAGGGTGGAATCTTTACTAAAAATAACCCCTCCACTGTGTTAGATACCAGCATTTTTGCCATGTTTCAGGGATTTAAGTTGGACACCAGACAAGATTAAAGACTGTTGTGAACTCTTCACCTGGACTAAATGAGACTGACCCTTGGATGGCTCCTTGGATGCATTGGTACTCACATTTCTCTCTTTAGACACGAGCACCATGAAGTGCAGTCTGTGCCTGATAAGCAGGAGGGCTTCAGGGAAAAGTCCTCTTACCTATTGTAGGGAGGAATAATTTCCTGCTTGGGACTTTTTAGCATCCCTTCTGCTGAGCAGTGCATGGTTAGGCTTTAGATTTTGCTGGCAGTTATGAGGTGCTGAAGATTGAAAGCAGATTCTGTCTTCTCCTGCTTTTTCTGTTTTTAATTCTGACCTTATTAGTAGAGTACTGTCTGGATATCTTGCAGCTCTCCCTGTCAAGACAAGGTGTGCCCAGGGAGGTGGTGTTGAGCTTGGTCCTAATGCAAGCCTTTAATCTGCATTTTTAAAGCTGTTTTTTAAAAAAGCCTCAGCACCCACTGAAGAAGCAGGTAAAGAGAGGTCGGCTGGACCCACATTTCTCACCCTCAGTGGTGAAGAGTGGCAGTAACCCTTGTGCAAGGGCCCAGAGCTGCACTGAGGGGCTGGAGCCCCCCACATGCCCCTGAGCAGGGACCCTTCTCCCCCCACAGCAGCTGAGCCAGGGCAGCAGCAGAACCTGTTTGAGAGCCACCCTGAACTAGTGACCCTCCTCACTGTCACACTGCCTGGGGGGTGACACACAGCCAAGGCAGAGCAGGCCAATCTTACAGGGATCAGGTTGACCAGTTGCATATTAAGCCACCACATATGTGCAGCACATGAGTGGCTGTTTAAAGAAAGCCTCTTAGTTCCCCTCCCTCCCCCTCTTCGAAGGCTTATTTCTTTTGTCGCGTGTCATGGGGGCTGGCAGCAGGTTCAGAAAGTCTGAGCTCTCCCAGCTCAAGGTCATTGGGATTGTTTAAATATAATCTCCTTTACTGTACTTTCTACTTTCCTACAACTTGCTATTCTGTCTTTCTAAAATTAACCTGCTGAGCAGAAGAGGAGCTTGGGCTTTGTGTGTGGGTGCAGTCCCCTCAGGCAGGGTCTGTGTGAGAGCTGAGCTGGGGGGGCAGAGCTGGGCCTTGTGGGGACCATTACAGACCAGTCAGCTCTGGGCAGAGAGAGATGTGTCCTCCAAAGGGATGGGGCAAAGGAAGAATGCCCTGACACTTCTGAAATGCTCAGTAGCTTGGCATCTTAAAAACATTGTTTTCTCTGCAACCAGGAAGGCTTGAGTCCTTGATCCAGCCTGAAGGTTGGTTCCTGCCACAGATTAGGCTTTGAGAAACCAGATCTCCAGCCGTGCTGCCACCAGTCCCACCCCAGCCGGGCCTGCATTCCAGCTGCCACTGGCTGTGGTGGGAAAGCTCTGCTCTCCCAAGGAAACCTTGGTTTCTTCCACTTTACCAGCTCACTTACTAACAGCTCTGATAAATTCCTGGTTACATGTATGCATGAAAGCTTGGGAAGTGAGGGGGTCCTGGGTGATGGAACCAGGGAGCTCCTGCTGAGATCTGGAATTATTATTATTATTATTATTATTAATAATAATAATAATAATTAATAATAATAATGACTCCTGCCTACAGCAATGGCTATGTAGTCTGTGTTGTTTTCTAAGGGGGAATGGTGAGAGTGAGGAAATGTTTCAAGGTAATTAAAAAATGGCATCACTGTAATCCCACTTACCCTAGCACTGTTAAACAGTACAAAACAGGATAAATGTTTTTTTAAGACATTGGCTTTTCCTTGTGCTTAACAGGGCACCATTGGCTTCCTGGCTCCAGGAGCACCTGGGCTGGGGTAAAAAGCTGTCTCTGTGTCCCACTAAACCTTGATCCCTGTTTGCCCCTGTCCCCTTTAGAGTGCTGGTGTCCCCTGAGGCTGAGGGCCTGGTCCTGTGTGGCAGAACAAAGCTGCTTCTGTGAGCTGCCAGGGAATGGAATCCAGGAGGTGCTGAGGAAAGGACTGACTGTGAGAGAGACTTGGTGCCATTCTGGTGTCACCAGCCCAGCTCAGCTGGGGCTCTGTGAGCAAACTGTGCTGCCTTCATGCTGCGGTGTTGGAATTGTGGAAACACATTACAGGTCCAGCTCTGAGCATCTGGACCCCTGGGAGTTTCGTTTTTTGGAGTGTGATAACAGGGCAGGGAATCCCAGGAGATAGATGTTACACTGAATTTTCTATCTGAAATTTATCCAAGTCATTCAGGAATGAGCTTTTGGGGCAGTCTTATTCCTGCATCCTCGTAGTGCAGATGTGCAGAAAAATTAATAATACCCAGCATCAGTTGTGCTGTCTGTACTTTTGCTACTCTGCAAAGATTAGTTACAGAAAAAAAAAGAAAATCTACCCAAACTTCATTGAACCCTGGCTCTGCTCTGGTCCTGCTTCATGCTTACTGCTCATTTAAATTCCTGGTCTCCCCTTGAGTCAGCTGTGTTTTGTGTTTCATCCAGTTCAGGGCATGTGACAGAAGATACAGGATGTGTTTCTTAGACTTCTGCCCTTTCTTAATTTTTTCTTTTTGTTTGCTCCATGCCACAGTTACTAAAATTGGAAACTCTTTGTGTTGCCACCTACAGAGCTCCAAAGGTTTGGGCTGATGAGCACTGTCACAGCTGAAAGTCCTGCGTCAGCTCTCAAAGCAAGAGTCTGGGTTAAGAAAGATGCAATTGTTAAAGGACATTCAACACATTCACATTTGCTTTGAGTCAGAAGTGGGGTTTGAGGACTAGAGGATTCCAAGCTTTTGTTTCACCAAGCAGTGAGACACACTTTTGAGTTTCCCCTTCAAATAAAGTTCAAAGCCTTTTATATAGCTTGATTCCAGGAGTTGAAACTTTAGGATAAAGGCCAAATATTGTGAAATTTGTGATCTCATTGTGAGAATAGGCAACAGGGAGGTTTGTTTAGGCAGAACTTTACAGGGAAATTCCTGGGTAACTGGGCTAAGTATCCTGGTTTTGTTTATTAACCACAATTGCTGCAGACTTACACTGGAAACATTTGAATGGGGGAGGAGAGAGAGGCACAGCTCAGTTCTGTGTCAGGAAATACCAGATCATTTTGTGTTTTCCAGGCTCTTGTATCTTTTGTGTCTGCCTGATGTGAGCCTTATCACTGTGGGGCTTTGGTGTATTAAGATGTAGGAGTTCTACACAGATATCTCTCCAGGCAGGATATGGGTAAAGCTGGTTCTCTGATGAAGGAAAAACTGCATGAGGAGGAGGCCATTATCTTTGTCCAAACATATATTTTTTGTTCAAATAAAGAAGTAGTTTTCCTCACAGTTTCTGCTGTTCACTTCAGTACTAAAAAGCCAAACACTCTTATCTGACTCTTTTTCAGGTTTTAGACCTGTTTTATTTCTGGCCCTGTTTTTAATGAAAAAGTTTAACTTTCACTAGTAGCCTTGCAAAAATTTTCCGTAAGGGGAGGAGTATTTTGATCCCCTGTAATCCTAAATGGAATAGCAGAAGGATGACCAGTCCTGGGGGTGCAGAGCACACTCACACCCCAGGCACAGGAGAGAGCAGCTGTGGGCACTGCTGTTGTGCCAGAGAGGGGCACTGCCAAAAGGAGTGAGCCATGAGTCAGCCCGGGCAGTGAGACAGTGCCACTGCTGAACGTACACGACAGGTGACACTCTTACAGAGAGCAACAAAAAGGGTCTCTCTTGTTTTCCTGCAGAGAATACCAGAGGAGCTGACCCTGGATGCCTTACTAGAAATGAATGAGTCAAAGGTGAAAGAAACAATGAAGAGATGTGGAGCCAGGGATGAGGAGTGCTCCAGGCTCAACGGGGCCCTGAGCTGCCTGCGGAAGGTGACGGAGTCAGGTACAGCCTGCCCTGTTCTGCTGTGGCACTGGTGTCCCAGCAGCCCAGCCCCAGCTGCTGCCTTGCAGACACTGGTTGGGCATGTTCTGTGACCAGCCTATGGCTCTGGCATGTGCACGAAGGTGCACTGATCAAACCTGTCTAGAGCTGGCAGTTGGGTTTGGTTTGGACATCAAGTCAGATAAATAAATGGAAATAAATGCATGTAGAATCCTCTCCTACTCTGTAGACTATATCCTTATTAACCCTTTCTGTTCAGAGTTGTGTCTAATGCTCCAGTTCATTCCCCATGGGTCAGTACAAATCCTTGACTTACTTAAATACAACCAGATTCCTTGTAGGTGATGCCTTCCCCAAATATTGCCAGCTCAGAGAGAAACCTTCCCCTAGCACTTCCACAGGCACTGTAAAATCTGTTTGTATAAGAGCCTCTCCCTGCAGACTGGAACTCACATGCACCACATCTTTCTTTGTAGCAGTTATCAATCTGTCACTGAAAGGTGATGTTTCCTGTTGATATTATGACAGTTCGTCCATTTACAAATGGTAAAGATTAGTTAATGGAAAAGATCAGCAAACAGCTCAGTCTCATGTTTCCTTTTTTCTAATCTTTCTTGTCCCAGGCTGTCAAATATTTCCCATCCACACTGTATAAACCAGCCATTGCTCAGGAGTTATGGCATTCACCTCTTAGAAATAAATGGCATTTTTAAAAACCCAGGTATATGTCTCTCAAAAGATCAAATCAGGGCCTGTGCTGAGTTTTCCCAGGCTGGGGCCCTGCTGAGGCTCAGGGGAGACCATTGCCAGGGGAAATGGGCAGCACAGCCCTGCCGAGGAGCGCCGGGGGCCCGAGCAGCCCGGGCCGGCTCGGCGCGCAGTGCCCTCGTGCCTGGCCGCCACTAACGCTAACGCCGCTCCGTTGGACAGGAGGGGAGCTGCGGGACGATGTGCCGATGGCCCTCCCCGAGCGCCGGGACAGCTCCTGCTCGCAGCCGGACCCCGCCTGGTCCCCGAGCGCCGCGGCCAAGGGCAGCCAGCAGCAGCCGCGCTCCGTGTCCGCGCCCTGCGAGCCGAACCCGAGCCACGGGCCCGGTCCCTCGGCAGAGACGCTGCTGGAGCCGCTGGTGCTGCCCGCGGCCGGGGGCAGGCCCCGGACTCCGCACAGCATCACCGTCACCCCCCCGGCCACGCCGCAGCCCAAGCGCCGGCACCGCCTGAAGCCGCCGCGGACGCCGCCGCCCCCCTGCCGCAAGGTGTTCCAGCTGCTGCCCAACTTCCCCACCCTCACCAGGAGCAAGTCCCACGAGTCTCAGCTGGGCAACAGGATAGACGAAGTTCCTCCAATAAAGTAAGTTTCTTCCGCAACTGGAGCAGGGGCTCTCCCTGGCAAAGGCTGCCCTTTGTCGGCACGAAAATATTGGCAATACAGCAAGCTCGGGAGCCTGTGCAAAGCCAAAGGTGTCTGTAAACTGGACAGCACGTGCTGCTCTAGCAACGTGTGTACCTGTCACGGGAGTGAGTATCAGTGCCTAAAAGTATCTTTTCTTCTTTTTAGGTTCGGTAAGAGTCTCACACGGGTGTCTGCAGTGCCTTGCTGAGAAAGAAGAACCTGTGCTTGTCAGCTCCCTGTTGGCCATCCTTGGGCAGCCTCTGGAGGTTCTCCATGGGCCCTCCTATCCCAGAGCTTCTGTTAACTGAGCAGGAGCTTGGCCTGCCACAGAACCACAGGGTTTTACTTGGTTGCACCTGGTATTTTCTAGGATGACACAAGCAAGGCAAAGGAATACTGATGCTTCAAGGGTTAAAGTCAGGGGATGCTTATCTATGACCTCAGACAGCTGGCACAGATGCCTCTTGGTACAGGAATTTCACATCTAACCATCCAGTGGCTTTGGCTATGCATTGCCCAGTGTCTCTGCAATGAAGTTAAGACACATTCATGCAGCTTTCTGAGGAAGCTGCAGCATGTGCTGGAGTGTGGGGTGTTCCCTCTGTGCTGAGGAGTCTGTTCATGTGGGTGATGGCTGGCAGGAGCAGGGCTGGGCTTCTCCAGGGCCACTGGGAGTTCTAGCCATCCTGAGGTGTCCCAGACACAACCTGTAACCCTTGGAAGCTAATGGGGAGAGACTGGAGCAGCTTGGAAAGTGTCCAAAAGTGTCTGAGTATTAAACGCAAGTATGAAAGTTCAAGCACTGCACCTATAGCTGATGCCCTTTAAAACAAAAATCTCAGGAATTCCTTTCAGAAACAGAAAGATTGTAAAATGAAAATGCCAGCAGAAATCTGAGCATTTCCCTGGGGAGAGTGAGATAATTCGTGCGATAAATGAAAAAGGCATTAGAATAAACTCAAACAGAAATTAAGGATTTTGATGCTCCTCTTATATAGATGTGTTGGCTGAGATGAAGTGTCTGCTGTGGGCTCTGGTGAGTCCCGGACAATCCCAGACTGGTTGATACCCATTCAGTGAGGGCTTAACCATCTGACCGATGTTAACAGCCTTCTTTACTGCTGTGCTGGGATTGTTTGGGTGGCCACGCTGGGCCAGCAGCATTCCTTGGAAAAGCAGCTAGCCATTCCAGACTTTTCCAAGAGGCTGAGGATCACAGATGCCTTTAGGAGCTCCCTGGACTAATGATAAAAAAGATTATGGTGCCATCTATGGTCAAGTGAGGAGGCTGGCTCTGAGCCAGCCCTGCTGCTGTGCTGATGCAGCAAACTTGCACATTGGGGTTTGCCTCAGCTGTGCAATATTTCTGAAATATGTCAGAAGTCTGAGCGTTGGAGAATTTTCAGGAAGTTATGTGCTCTAACCACTGGCATGCTGGTTTGGCATTTGGAAGTCTAGATCTCCCTTTCTGCACGTAGCAGAAAGTTAAGTGAGCTCACATGTATGTTTTTATTCTTCTGGGTCATGCTGGCCCTGTCTAGAAAATTTTCAGTGAAATAGAATATTCTGAAATATACTGACACTGCAGGAAAACTTGGTGATGGTATTTGTGGTAAACCAATTGGGAGTAACCCAGTTAGGAGTAAAATCTGACTTTCCCCTTTAAGACTGGCTTAGACCTGATCAGATGGACTTCTGTAATCCCTAAATGTAAAACATCACGATTTATCCAATCATATGGAAACAAATACAAGAGCAAGTTCACAGGGGGCAAATCAGTCTGATCTGTGTTCCTGTGACACCTCATGCTGGAGGTGCTGACCTGGAGCACTGACTGCTCAGTTTCTGTGCAGTGTTTCCCTAAACCCTCCTCTTGTTCTCCACCAGAGCTCTCCCAGGGATCCCCCCAGATGGTACGAAGAGACTTTGGCCTCGCTGTGACTCACAGGTGAGCAGCCACGGACTGGGTCTGGCTGTAATTCACAGGTGAGCAGCCAGGGACTGGTCTGGCTGTAAACAGCCAGGGACTGGGTCTGGCTGTAATTCACAGGTGAGCAGCCAGGGACTGGTCTGGCTGTAAACAGCCAGGGACTGGGTCTGGCTGTAGCTCACAGGTGAGCAGCCAGGGACTGGGTCTGGCTGTAATTCACAGGTGAGCAGCCCAGGGGCACAGCCCAGCAGCCCAGGCAGGGCTGTGGTGGCACAGGGCTCTGAGATGGGTTTGGAGTCGGTTTGGGTGTCTCAGTTGTCAAGTTCAGCTACCTACAAATGTCCATTTCCCCTCAGACACCAGCTAATGTCAGTTTTCCCTCTCTTGTCTCTGTTAGGTTCTCTACAAAGTCCTGGTTATCTCAGATTTGCCAGGTGTGCCAGAAAAGCATGATGTTCGGGGTGAAGTGTAAGTACTGCAGGTGAGCACACAGGGACAGTCTCCGTCAGAACAGCCTGGAGTGGACTCACCACAGCCTGCAGTAACTCATGTCTCTTGATGTGATGCACTTTTGGCAGTGGCATCATTTTTTCAGTCCTTCTGGCCTGGCAGAGATGCTCTGGCACAACTCACCCTTGAAGCTGGCAGCCTGACACATGAATGAACCAAATTTGTTTCCCTGCCACAGGCTTCCTACCTCATCCTGGGCAAATCTTCTAGTGGAAGCTGAATCCCTAAATAACAGCCAGGATATTAATTTTTGCTTCTCTCTCAGGCTTGTTAGTCCAGAGGACTGAGATTTTACTACTTCATGGTTGCTGGCTGAGAGTCAGTGAAAGTAACTCTGTTAAAAATAAACCAGATGCTAAGATACGTTTGTGGTTTCATTAGCCTAAATAATAGAATTCCCTATACAAATGCCTGCTGCTCTGGGGCTGAGCATTCCAGAACTCCTTCTGAGATTAGCATAAGAATTACAAATTAAGGGTAGGCTTCCTCTTTCTGGGAAAGAACAAGTTGCTATTTAACATGTAATGGTTATCTTTCAGATTAAAATGTCACAACAAATGTACTAAAGAGGCACCTGCTTGTAGAATATCCTTCCTTCCCAGTAAGTAATTTTCTATAAATTCTTGGCATTTCAATATAATTGATGGTATGGAAAGAATAAAAAGTCTCATTAAAGCTGTTTTTCTCCCTTCTCCAACCTGTTTTTCAGTAACAAAAATAAGAAGAACAGAGTCTGTCCCATCTGATATCAATAATCCAGTAGACAGACCCACAGAACCCCAGTTTGGAACTCTCCCCAAAGCACTAACTAAAAAGGTACGAGGTGGCTGAAGCATGTCCAGAGTCCCTGGGGAGCTGCAACAGGGAGAGGTTGGATCTCACTGGTTGGAGTGGGAGCTTTCACTTTGCAAGACTTGGATATGAGACATTTTCTCCCTGTAAAACAGGGGTTGCCCAGAGCTCCAGGTGTTTATTCAGAAAAGCAATGCCACAATCAAGCCTGGGAACAAGTTCCCTCTATCTTTTGTCCAGCAGACACTGAGGGGAGCTCCTCTTTCTTGTTCTCTCACAAGTGTCTTTCTCTGCTTTGCAGGAGCATCCACCAGCAATAAACCCCCTGGACTCCAGCAGTAATCCTTCTTCTACAACCTCATCCACTCCATCTTCTCCAGCACCTTTCCAGTCTTCCAACCCTCCCAGTGCGACGCCGCCCCCAAACCCGTCCCCCATGGGCCCGAGGGACGGGCGGTTCAACTTCCCAGGTACACTCCTGGCAGCAGACTCTGCAAGGAGAGGCTGACCAGCAATGCACAGACAGCTGTAGGTTCCTGAATACATGGTTGTGCCTTAAGCAAGGTGTAAAAGGGTATCTTATTATCTGATAAAATTAAAATGTCTTTCTTACAAATTTTTAAAGGGTATCAGCAAGATATCTTTGCAGGAAACTGATTATTGAGGAACATTTCTCCTTTTCCTTTTTGGAAAAGGACCGAAGAAAAAAGCTGTTTTTTCTCCTTCTTTCCCCTTTGTGCTGTACAGTGCATGCTGCCTGCAATGTGTGCTCACCAGGGGCTTTCAGTCAGGAGGGAGGTACTTGATGGAGCAGGCTGTAAAAATGAGAACTGGAATGAATTACTTCACCAGACCCTTCCAAAATATAACCCACAATCAACACCGATTTTTAAACCACTATCAAGCAGGACTGGTGGAGAGTTTACCCTTCATGCCCTATGGATTGAGAGCAGTTTTGGTGTGCAGCTTTAACCAGAGCTGAGAGGGGCAAGTATCTCTGACAAGGGCAAAGATCTAAACAGTGAGAATAAATGTAATTCCTTTGACCTGAAGTCACATGGTGCTTAGTAGCTACTACATCTGGCCTTCAACATTGCTGAATTTTGTATCAGCTTCTGACCTGTGAATTTAAGTTGTAGTTTGAGCCTGCTGAAAAGGACCAGAGGCAGTTCAGTGTAAGGATTCCACTGCAGCTACTTTGCATCGGGACAAAGTGCTCAGATTCACTGAAAAAATAAAAAAGGTGGATGGTTCTTCAGCTTCTGTGGGGGCACCTCTGCAAAGCTGAGACATGAGAGCACATCACACCTGATGTGGGCCTGCCTTGTGCATTCCTGGGCTCTCCCTTTGCTCCTGCCAAGTATGGTGTTTGCTCACCAGGCTGTCTGAGAGAGGTAGCACAGCTTGTGTTTGATACCTGTCATGTGTCAGGGCCTCCCAAAATGCATGTGCTGAAATTCCCCCAGCAGGCTGATAATGCACTAATCTGTTCCCAGCAGTGACCTGGGACTAATTCATTGAATGCATATGAGGCACTCACTGATGATCCTCTAACTTGTTTGTGTTGTTCTTTTTTTTTTTTCTCCTGGTGTTTTTTTTTTTTTGCTGTTCCTTTTTTACAAAACCCCAATTAATTAAAAAGCTGCCTACTACCTTCAGCATAGACAACAGTTTATCTTCCCAGGTGAGTTGATTGTTTTAATTCTACTAACCAACGTCTACTGCCAAAACATAACTTGCTTGTAAACCTCTGCATCCTGCCCAAGAACAATCATTCTGCTTTAAAAAGCCTGTCTAAAACAATCCAGACTTTCTCTTATTTCAGTGTGTACTCAGGCCTCTCTCCCCTAATCTGAGGTACTAATGTGACTTATGTATTGAGATGGAACTTTGAATATTTAGCTACAGAAAATCCGTTTCCTGCTGTGGATTCTATTCACATCCTCCTTTGAAAAGTTCCACTATTATGGCTTCGTGCCTAGTCAAAAGGACTTTAGAGATAGGTGGGGTAAATGGAAGACGACTGGGCTCAGCCAATATGCAGGCATAGGAGAGATGAGCAGAGTTTTAAATCAGTAAAAGTATAAAATCACTTTGTCTGTGGTTGAGTTTTTAGTTCCTAAATAAGAAGAAAATAGTTGCTATTGCAGTGTTAAAACTTTCAGTCTATAGGAGATTGAAGTAGAAGTTGTACCATAACTGTTTCTGCTTTCCCAGAAATTCCCAGTCCTGCACAAACAGCACAGCTTCCAGAAACTGCTGCAGACACTAAGTAAGTATAGTTTTAAATCCATTCATTTTCACAGCTTTTACCTGGTAATCCTCAAGTCAGCCCAGAAGTACTGTGTTATGGCCAAAACCAGATTTAACACCTGAGAATTCCCAGGGTAACTTTAGTCAGTGAGGGTGATACTGGTATTGCCAGCTTTATAAAGCTGGATATGACACTTAACTCTAAATGGCACACTAAGGAGTCCAAGCCTTTAATATCTAGTCCTGGTTGTATGAAGGGTCAGATGAAGCAGAATTTGGAGTTCTGTCACTTGAAGGGCACAGCACACTAGCACACTGAGCTGCAAGCAAACAGCTCTTTCAGGATCCCAATTGCAGGGCATGGAAAAGCTTCCAGCCTGCATTGCCAGCTGCTCCACTGCAGGTGTTTCAGGGGTAGGAATGGGAGCATCTATTCCTGGAACACAGTGTAGTAACAGAGCCATGCCACTGCCAAATCAATTCCTGCCACTTAATTATCAAGACTTACTTCTAAGTCTTTGTCCCTCATTTGCCAAAGTGAGCTTAGAGTCCTTCTCTTTTCCATGGAGCGGGAGCTGTATCTTCTCTGACCTCTGTAACTGTCAGGATCTGTTCTGCATTGGCTGCTTCTGCTCCCTGAGGGCAGCAGAGGCCCCCATTGCAGCGATGTCAGACGTTGTTTTCACTGCTTCTGTTGCAGCGCTGCCCAGCAGCCGGGCGCGGGCCGAGGCGCACGGGAAGCACAGGTGGGTTTGCTGGTTTGGCCCGCTGGTCTCTGGAGCAGCTGTGCTGCTGGGCTGCTCTGCCACCCCGAGGGACTGCGAGCACGCCTTTCCCTCCCCTTGCTGTGCACAGGTGGAGGAACCAGAGGCCAGTAAGTCAGAGCCCGAGGACGATGAGGACGAGGTGGAAGATTTGCCCAACCGGCGGCCGCACCTGCAGGGGATGATCTACCGCAAACCCAGCCAGACCAGCGTGTACCTGCAGGAGTGGGACATCCCCTTCGAGCAGATCCAGCTGGGGGACCCCATCGGCCAGGGCCGCTGGGGCAAGGTCTACAAGGGCAAGTGGCATGGGGAGGTGGCCATCAGGCTGCTGGAGATCGACGGCAACAACCAGGATCATCTCAAGCTTTTCAAGAAGGAGGTGATGAACTACAGGCAGACCCGGCATGAGAACGTGGTGCTGTTCATGGGAGCCTGCATGAACCCCCCTCACTTAGCAATCATTACCAGGTGAGAGAGAGATCTTTCTATTAGCTCTACTAGATATGTATTGTAGAGTTAGCTAGTGTTCTCATATATAAACATTTCCTGTAGCTTCTGCAAAGGAAGGACGCTGCACTCCTTTGTGAGGGACCCCAAGATCTCCCTGGACATCAACAAAACCAGGCAGATAGCACAGGAGATCATTAAGGTAAGGGCTTCTTATGCCAAGGGGGCCACTGGGTAGGGCCTCAGCCAGAGCTCAGAGCTGCACATGGGACTGGGAGCTGCTCCCTCAGCCTCTCCCTACACCTTCCTGCACAAGTCCCACAGGGGCCCTGCCCCCAGTTACTACTAATCCTTGACACTGGAGTTAAGAAGGGGAAATGTGTTAGAGAGGAGAGTATGCTTGGAAATAATAAAACCCCAAAAACATTTCCATCTCTGCTGTGTTTCCCAGGGCATGGGGTATCTCCACGCAAAGGGGATTGTACATAAGGATCTGAAATCCAAAAATGTCTTCTATGACAATGGGAAAGTTGTGATCACTGACTTTGGATTATTTGGAATTTCGGGCGTGGTTCAGGAAGGAAGGTAAGTGGAGGTTTCAGTGCTTGGTTCCACATCTGGAATGACAAATGGTCAAATAGGGAAACGTTTCCTGCAGCGCACAAGAAGCATCCATGGTTTAGTACACACTTAGTTTGCACTGTGCATGTTTGCTTTGTTTTCCTTCTGAGCAGAGTTCTTCCTACAGTTGCAGTAACACAGCTAGAGAGTTTGGATTAAGACTCGGAGCACAGAACAAACAGACCTTAAGCCCAGGAAGGAGCTGTGGGTGTCAGGCTGACATGTGCCTATTTGTTAACATGGCAAGAAAATTAGAAACAAAACATCAGCAAAAACATTGGAGTAAATAAAGCCAAAGCATCAGGTGCAGCACAGATATGGCCTCCACACCAATGTTCTAGTCCTGCTTCTTTCTTTTGGACTCAGGAGGGAGAATGAACTGAAGCTGCCTCATGACTGGTTGTGCTACCTGGCCCCTGAGATTGTCCGTGAGATGGCCCCAGGGAAAGATGAAGACAAGCTGCCTTTCTCCAAAGCTGCAGATATCTATGCCTTTGGGTAAGAAAGGAACACCCAGGAGTACCATGAGAGCTTGCTAAGTGAGACTGGCTACTGGTCTAAGCCTTCCAGTCAGTGTTCCCCTTCTCTCAGACTCAGGATTCCAGCTGGGACACATTTTCCTCACCTATTCCAAAAGTCATGGCTGGAAGGGGTTTGCTGCACAGCCTTGGGCATCTGCCAGAGCTCAGCTGAAGCAGCTGGGACAGTGCCAGCATTGGGTACTTTGCCAGGAGCAGGCAGAGGCCTGACACATCTGTTGGTATTGCAGGACCGTGTGGTACGAGCTCCAGGCACGGGAGTGGCCGTTCAGGACCCAGCCTGCAGAGGCTCTCATCTGGCAGATCGGCAGCGGCGAGGGAGTCAGACAAGTCCTTGCCACTGTCAGCCTGGGCAAAGAGGTCAATGTGAGTACCTCAGCTGCAGGAGTCCCTCAGCTGTTTGTCAGGGAGAGCGGGGCGCTTCAAGAGAGTTACTATATTCATAACTCGAAACAGAAAGGGCAGGACAGAGAAGAGAGTGGGAGACCAGGTTAAGCCTGTGCCCATAACTGTGGTGCAGGAATGAACATCCCCAGCACGGGACACTCTTGGGTTCTGACAGTGTCCAGGCCCTCTGTGAGCAGTGTCTGCCTGGCCGCACACACATCCCAGAGCTCAGACACTTTTCTGGTTTGCGCATTGACCCATGAGCAGAGATAATGAACCACCACTGTCCTCTGCAGGAAATCCTCTCGGCCTGCTGGGCCTTTGACCTCAGCGAGCGGCCCAGCTTCACTGTCCTCATGGAAATGCTTGAAAAACTGCCAAAACTGAACCGCCGGCTCTCCCACCCAGGGCACTTCTGGAAGTCTGCTGAGTGAGTACCTGCTGCTGGTCACAACACTGATGCCATGAAATTTGCTAACTGATCATTTCTGACCTTTATTTGCTTTCCTGGGGCTGTCAGACCTGACAGGGTGGGAGCACTGCTCCTCTGCTTCTCTAGTTCCTGGGAAATGATGTGTCTAAGCCATGAGCCTCAGACAGTTCATTTCCTACCTTACCACATTCACCTCCCTCCAGCAGCTGACTGATCCCCCTGTTTGGTGTCAGAGAATATCCACAACAGCATTGGGAAGGGTCCACACTGACCCCAAGCTGGTTGGAACTTCCTCTGTGCTGGTAATGGCAAAGGAGGGACCCAAGAACAGGGCACTGTTTCCCTCTGGAGTGGTTCAGACTGCATGGGTTTGAGGCCACAGATATATCTGTGCCCAGTGCCCATTCACCATGTCCTTGGCTCAGTGTTTCTTTTCATCTCCTGAACTGCTCATATTTACTTTCTCTTTGTTCTGATTTTAACCCATCCCTTCCCTTCCTATAATCCTTCACCCTCTTCCTGCAACACCTGATCAGAACCACCCAAACTCTTGATACAGGAACTGTTGTGGCAGTTTAGTCTAGGCTGGGTGTGGGGGCTTTGGAGTTTTGGTTGAAAATTCTGCCACTTCTCCTGTGCAAATTCCCCCCCATTTGTACTGGATCCTTGACACACCAGTGATGTCCAACAACTTTAAACTGGCAGAGAGCTTCTCCCAGACTCTGGCCTCACCTTCACAAAAAGAACATGCACTGAGCAGTGGAGCTCTCCCCCTCCTCACCAGATCCTTTCACAGCACTGCACTAACCCCTGCTGCAGCCTGGTCGAAGCTGTACAGTGTGTAGTTCTCAAGGGCTTGCTTTAAATAACAGAAAACTAACTCTCATGGTGTCTTTTTCCCTTCCCTCTCGTATTTCTTTGTAGGTTGTAGCTACTGGTGCAATAACGGGCTCCACCTTGCATGCTTCCATGTGTCGTATCCTAACTGGCAACTTGGACAATCACCTTCCATTAAAAAAGCCAAAACAAACCACGAAATTAACCCATGGACATAATCAACACTTTATCCGAGTTCTTCTCGCTGCCTTTCGCTTGGTGTGGGCTGTAGCTTCAATAACCACTCCTGTCTGCGGGACCTTCCTGGCTAACACGGCTGCTCTGCCCCGGGGCGCCCAGCAGCTGCGACTCCTCGGGACGGGCGCGGGGACCCGCTCTGACTGACCAGGTGCACACCCAGGCAGGGCCGGCTGTCCCGAGTGCAGCTCCGGGCTGTCCCGCCTGCAGCTC